AATACAAGTCCAGGAAAGCGCTTTGAATGATTAAGAAAACAGTTTATAAAGATCAGAATATTTAAAGGGCAGGTTTCTTCATGGACATGAGGGCTTGGTTCATGTGGCAAAACAAAACTCTATTGAGTCCCATACGACAGGTGGACTGTGAGCCCATTACACACAGCCTGCAGCACAAAGGCATACTCGTCATTTTAATTTTGACTTATTACTCGTTGAACGCACAAAACACTAGCCTGGCCTTAGCCATCCGTACACTCCGTTCAATAATCATTTCACTGCATGTAACGTCTGGGCCTTGTCCCTATGTTAGCAATTACAATCGGTTGAATTTCGACCGACCATTCAGAGAGCGCGGAAGGCAGGTGTTGTAGTTAGTTGTGGGCGATGTCAAGAGTTTGCGTCGAACGGGAAGGTCGTAGTTTGGCAATGGTGAAAAATAAATAGAATAGTAAATTATTCTGGTCTGGTTCTATCAAGAAATTAAAGCCGGAGCAAGAGGAATGTTTAGCAAATGTAATCGCTGGAAAAAATGGTGGCGCTACTCCCCACGGGCTCCGTTAGCGGCAAAGGAGATGGCTAGGCTAAATGCTAAATGCTAACAACAGACTCGGGCGCATTACATACGTCACGGTAAACTCAGATCCAATCGTTTCAATCTGCAAAAGTAGTTAACCCCTACCACCTGTAAACGGAGGTCAATGGAGCACGTCCAGACCTAAATACGAAATGTTATTTGTACTATGGTGTGGTGCGACCAGGCTAACAAAACACCTGTTTTGAACCATAATTTCACAATTAAAATAATTGAAATAATTTTTTAAAATTATTATATTTATAAATAAATTGTTTAAATGAAGGGCTAATGCAATTAATGAAGATATACTTTTTTATAAAATGCAGTCAGTTCATTGACTAATTATGTTTGTCACACTGTGGAACACTAAAAACCATCCTTTCTAGTGTCTCTTGATTTTCTCCATTTCCCTCGAAAAGGCTTGTTTTGAAAAGCTGTCATGTGAGAATAAGCTGTCATCATGTGAGAATAAGTTTAGTTTGTTTTCTCAAAGGTGCTTCAAGGATACAGATAATTACATAATATTAATACAGAAACTCTGCATTTGGACGGTCGTCCTGGCTCATTCACTTGGAGTTAAATCTCAAATTAAAAATGGTTTTCAGGGTTTAAACTGTTCGTTTCCAAACCAATATTTTATTCTGTTGCAAATGGTTGGCTTTTGCTGTAAAATAAAGTTTATTGTCCCAGAAGGGAAATAATCTCACTGAAATGTTCAGTTACATCATGTCAAACATTCAAAGAGAAACAGCACAGTTTACAGAGAGTAATGTTATCTTCCCTTCATGAACGTGATCGAAGGCTTTCAAATGGTCATTCTGTGTTGTGGTTAGATAATACAAGACTCATTGATCTCACAATTCAATTTACTGTTCCAGCTCTTTAACTTTTTTTTTTAATGACAATGTAATATACAGTACATTTATTTTTAGCATTCGTTGTACTTTCAGACCATAAAGAATCATTAAGATAAGATAAGATTTGCTTTATTTATCTCACAGAGGAGAAATTTACACGACATAGGGACATCTCTTTAATGTTATAACTGAAGTCAGTCTCTCCAACAATCCACCAGATCTGTGAGGCACTCATCTGTGGTAAAGGTTAGACTTGACCGCACTGACCTGACTCCTGACCTGCAGTGTGAGGCTCCCCAGGGGACAGTCCTCGTACCGATCCTCTTCACCCTCTACACTGCAGACTTCAGACACATGGACAGCTGCACACACACGCACACGCACACGCACACGCACACACACACACACACACACACACACACACACACACACACACACACACACACACACACACACACACACACACACACACACACACACACACACACACACACACACACACACACACACACACACACACACACACACACACGCACACCTACGCTTTAGTATCAAAAATATAATCAAAAGAAGCCTTTCACAGTAACTACAAACTTGGATTTTAACTGTTTATATTTCCAAAGATCTTCCTTTCTATTGCTACATTATAATGGGATTTTGATTAAGAACAGTAATATCTGACCTATCCTCTTTTGGCTGCAGCTACTGACAGCAATGGGTTTGATTGAGAGAGGATAGAGACAGAGCAGATCGAGGTGATAAAACAGAAGTCTTCAATTGCCTGAAATTCCCAGGATGACAGATCACCTGGAGAGTTCCTGTTTTCGTCTGCTTCACACCTGGCAACCATATGTTTTCCCAGAATTCACCAAAAATCGAATATTTTTGTAAACATCCTCTCTCCTGATGCCACCACTCTAATGCTATTACTGACCGGGAGAGACATCAGATAGCGAAAGCACTAATACCTTTATTTTTCCGTTTATTATTATGAGGTCAAAGGGGGATTTCCTAATTTCCTGAATGGTAGTCAGACAGAACCCCCAATGAGGTGCACAAACAGCAGAGATGTCGTCGAATGGAACAAGAGTGTTTTTGTTGAATTGTCAGGGGGAGCCGGTCATGTGCAGATTGTATCTCTGTATGAAGTGGCTCTCTATGGCCCATCACAGCTGCCTCTGTGCTCGTCTCCCATTGACCGACAAACCCATGCCCCAAAATGTTGTTCAAAGTTACATTAAAACACAGACGAGCTACTGTCTGTTCAGGCTTTTGTTATTTTACCCAAATATGTCAAAGGAATTATTAGGATTTGAAGTGAAACATATGCTGTACATATACTTTTGCTGGTGAGATAAATGTTAAGTTACCAAAAGCTTTGTTACTTAAAGTATAGGGTTGTGCAATACTTAATAATCACTTATCATGTGTTGTGTGTTCTTCATCCCTGCTGTTCAATAAATGTTCATGCAACACAGACATTTCCCCACTGTGGGCTGAATAAAGGATCTCTTAATCTTAATTTTGATTCAAGCCTATTTGACGACAATATTTGAATACATGGAAATTATGGCTACATTGACGGGGGCCTAGTGTTGATGCAAGGGCTGACAAAGAGAGAACACAATATATTTTTAAAAACTGAGGACTGAGAACTCAGACATGCACCACGTCTTCTCGTTCATACTCATTGTTTTCAAACAGGACAACTTTGGTAAGCTCAACATTATTGTTCCTGTAATATTTTGTTGGTGTCCCAATTTTAATGGGTCACAATAACACAAAAATAAACAGCATCTAAATATGTGTTTAAATAAAAGCAGACACTGAAAAAATTAATTATATGCTTACAAGCCAGTCCCTTTAATGTTCATATTGCTCAGGACAGCCACAAGATGTGTGCGAGAGCGACACCCAGTGGACACATGCTGTGCCTCCACCACAGAGTGAAAAAAGATACCGAATTATTTCAGACTATTTGAGTAAAAGTACAGATACTCAGTCATTACACCAAATGGAACTGACTATTTCTAAAGACAATTTTTAGGTTAAAAAGTTACGTTTAAAAATTAAATAGTTGTGTTTACCCTTGTCCTGCTTTAGAAAGGCAGATGTTTCAAATACTATTGCTCTGACGTGTGTGATATACACAATCATCATATTTACCGATATCATTTGATAAATTCACAATTTCTGAAACATTTTTGAAAATGACCATAGTAGTAATGCAGCCCTTCGACTGGGCCAAGTGACCACAGACTGTGGACCACTAGATTCATCCTGTGACATAAATATTTGCACATTCACCATTGTTTACATAGATTTTATTGAAATATTTTCATGCTCAACAAGAAATACAGTCTCAGTGCAGTGTACACAATTATAGTTTGACAAAGAGTCAGTTTATTCAAACTTTTAAACAGAGAATAACACACTACATAACAAAGGTGTATCAGTGCTAAGTAAGTTACTTTGAAAAAGTAAATATTACACATTACTTGAAATAATATCCATACTCATAATGTACACAACAAGTAAAGTAATTCCTTTATTTGTAATACAGTTTATTATTTATATATAGGATTTTTAATGATGTTGATAATAATAATGGCCTCCACACAGTTTTTGTTCTCCTTCAGTGCAGCGTTTAGACCACATTATCAGTGAAATAGGCAAATATTCTTAAAACAAGTTATTTTCACTCTATTACAAGTGGCCGCGCAGCAGAACTCAATGCAATTCACACAGATATATTTACAACTTTGTACAATAATAGATAAAAAAAGACACAATCATACATAATTTAATTGCAGCTTGTATGCAGTTTATAATAAAGTTAAAAAAAACCTCTACTCAAAATAGCTTTGAATATATCCAGCCCTTTATGTGAACGAAGACAATCGCCCTCTCTCTAACCGTCACCGGCCTGAAACCCGTTTTATATCTTCTGCAGGAAGTACTTAAAGAATTTCGTCAAGTACTTTTAAGTTTCCTGCTAAAGCATTCGAACACAAAGATATGAGAGCTACAGTTGCTACTTTGGACAAACTCAGCTTTAATCCCAATCTGTGAGGAACTTGACTTGTAAACATATCTTACATACACAAACACACACACCACACAGGCATGCACGTAGACACACACACACACAGACATACAACTTCTGTAAATGTTTGACTTACGATACCCTGAGTGACTTGCGACAATTAGCAAAAACTATTCCATGTATTCTTTGTATTCTGTTTGATTATTTTTCCAATTATCCCGCTTGTAGTTAGTTTATAATTTAAGGTGTCTTACCAATTGCAAACACATCCCTAAAATAGATGAGCAAATAAGACTTTACATAATTTGGCTTCCTAAAACTTTTACTTCTATTGAACATTAATATTAAGTACTCCTATTCTTGTGTTTTCTTTCAACCTCTGATGAAATGAATTTTACCAAGTTATACATCTAACAATCAGAATACTTTCTAAATCTGATCATAATATAACATTCAATTGCTGTGAACTCTTGTTTCGCTGATTGGCTTCCTTAATCTCTTGACTGTGATTTCTTCTGACGTGCCTTTTGCTCTTGAAAGATTGCTTGAAAGACGTTATCCGACTCTTGAAGCCCTCTCCCGAAAAGAAGTAGAGCATGGGGTCGAAGCAGGAGTTGGACGCAGCCAGACACAGCGTGACCACCACATACTTCTGCATGGCCACCTTCTCCTCGCAGGAAGCGTTGGTCCGGGCCAGGAAGTGCAGGTGGATTGTGCGCTGGACGTGGTACGGCGTGAAGCAAACTAAGAAAGTCAGCAAAACTATCACTATCATACGTATTGCTTTAGTCCCAGATGCCGATTTACTATTCCCTGGCGTTGTGCGTGAAACAAGCGCCTGAATAATACCAACGTAGCAAATTAAAATGGCCAGAAATGGTAACAGGAAGCCTACGGCGAGGGAGAGGTAATTTAACCTAACAAGACTGGCGATGTTTTTCACCTTAATTGGAGGTTCAAAGCATTTGGTTTTGTTGGTTAAGGAATCGAACTTCTCGCCGGACATGAGGAAAGGAATGGACAAGAGGCAAATCAAAACCCACACAGCGAAACAAACCAGACGGCATCGCTTAACCGTAACCCAGCTAATATTCTTCACCGGGAAGACTATGGCCAAGAATCGTGTCACCGACATCACGGCCATGAAGTAGATGCTGCAGTAGAGGTTGACGTACAGGGAGTAGGAGCTGAATCGACAAAGAAAGTCTCCGTAATTCCACTGGCCTTTGTTGACGTAGTACGATATGCGTAAAGGCAGGGTGCAGACACAGAGGATGTCCGACACAGCCAGGTTCAGCATGTAGATGTGGAACGGAGAGCTCTTCTGATAAGTCCGGGTCAAAATGATCAGCGCCAAACCGTTGGCGAGAAAGGCAAACACGGTGATGAGGGAGTAGACCGTGGAGTACACCTGGTTCCTGAAATCATCGATGGACGGGCACTCGGTGGAGTTGGTGAGAGCTGAGGAGTTGAATTGATCAATTTGGACCTGAAAAAAGACACACAATAGAAATAAAGAGAATTGCTAAGTCATATTTTCAGCTATATTTTTAATTTTCAAAGCTCAAGTGAAGGTGACTAAGGCTAACAACAAGCCAAGCCTCTGTAGCGCACAGCTGGGAGCACATTCAATACACACAATAACCTTTTGGAGGAAGGATTTGAATATCTCTTGAATGTATGTTTTTTTTACAAATAGGAAGACATAAGAGTTGACCTGAAGAGTGCAAGACCTTTTTGGAATTTAATGAGTGTGGGGCAAAGCAGGGCATGGTATGGTGCCTCTAAGAACATTGTGAATCACAAAGGATCTGATATTGCCAAGTAATCAACCAACCAGGATCAACGTATCATTGGGTGGAGGTTAGAGTTGGGTCATTTCCTTCAGTCTGCCCCAGAGCAGCTGTGGCTACAAGACCAGATAAGATCCTTTATTCATCCCACAGTGGGAAAATTTCAAGTAGTAGTAATGTCACACACAAACACACGTCAAAATCACGAAAGCCATAAAAACATGAAGCTGGATTCACTAAGGGCCTCACGGTGGCTGAGTGGATAGCACTCTCGTCTTTCAGCAAGAAGGTCCTGGGTTCGAATCCCGGTTGGACCAGGGCCTTTCTGAGTGGAGTTTGCATGTTCTCCCCGTGTCTGCGTAGGTTTCCTCCGGGTACTCTGGTTTCCCCTACCACTAAAAATATGTACAATAGGTCTGGCATGCACCTCCTGTTCGGCGACCCCGCTCCCATCTCTGTGTGGAGTGAGAGGACAAGTGCCCAAAAAATAACAATTGTAAAACCGCTTTAGTCTGTATACGCCTATGTCTGTAGGCGGTATATAAATAAAGATTACTTACTTACTAACAGAACCCTAACCCTAGTATTGAAATGTCTAAATGAACACAAAATAAAATAGAAAATTGATTCAAAATCTCATCTTAAACGGTCTTAAAAACAAACCCCCTGCGAATGCCATGAATCTTTTTGGGGTGTCATGAAAAGCACTTTAAAATGCATTTTGTTAAAGTGTTAAAAACATTTTCTAGATTTCAAAAAGAGTTTGAGAAATACAACTCAACTCTGCAGGCATTCTCGATGACTTTCGCTTTCACACAGACATGCTTTGCAAACATTTATAAAGACCTACTTTCTAATCGCCGCAGACTTAACGCAGCTTGGAGTTTTATGCGGCCAATTTGAACAAACATGAAAATGGCTCATGTGTCGGCCCTGATCGCGTCACAGTTAATGATCCAGTTTAAAGTTGCCCTCATGTTGATTTTTCCTCTGTGGGGCAACTTTCCTTAAACAAGGTTCATGAGGTCAACAGCTGCAGAAACACATTCAATTTATGCAAGTAGCACTAAAGCCCATTTCCTGCCTTTGGAGGCAATTAGACAAATATTAGATTAGAAGCACAATGCATTTGACAAGCAGTAAACAGGCTCATGCCACTCTAAAGTCTGATTGATTGATTGGTAATGGCCACAGTTCCATAAACATCACATTTGAGGAAAACACATATTTCTTTTATCTGTAGATCACAATTGCGTGCATTTGTGAGTTAAGTGTTTCCTGTGGTTGTACACCCAGTCGTCATGTCTGGGTGAACAAGACAAGTTGCAGAGTTTTACGATACACATATATTACTACACATATATATTTGCAAGTAATTATAAAAACTGTATTTCTAATAATTGCCAAAATGTAACAATATCTGCAAGAACAGAATAAACTTTTGATCTGTAACAGTTGCTGCATTTACGTGGCTACAGTTAGTTCCCGATAATGGTCATAATATGATTGAAGGAATTAATTATAAACCATAAATTATTTTTATTTTTTGATATATAATTGTTTTGATGTTATTAGCTACAATTAAACTAGAACCAGTAGTATGTAGCTGTTTGGTTATCCGTCACAACCAAATCCCACGTCCTTAAAAGCCGAACAAAATCAGTTCTTGTCCCAATGTTGTTTCTAACCCAGATGATTTGAATACACAAAAATATCCAACTGTTTATGCGTGCCATTGTGAATTTCAAGTCAAACATATGCACGATAAACTGCTCTAATTTTATTCTTACATAATAGCAACACCAAGTGATTCAATAGCTGTGATCGCTTTGTCAAGTCGTGCATTTAGAGATAAATTACCTCAAGATCCATGATGGCTCCAGGTCTGGCTTCGCTCTTGCCTTGGGTTTGCTGTTGTTGATAATGTGATGTGTGCAGAAAGGCAGCTCAAGTCGAGTTTAAGAGGAGGAGGAAGTGGAGGAAGAGAAGGGGGAGGAGGAGGGCTCTGCAGCAGGTGGCACTAAAAGGCTTTCTGGGAATAATCATTAAAAAGTTGAGTTTCCATTGAAATCCAAGAAACTACTTTTCCTCCGTTCAAGCCTACTTAGATGGTTGGATTGAGGCTTTACTGTTGGTTTTACAAAGGAATCTTTTAACTACTTGTACAACTTCACACAAAGCAACTGAACACAAGTAATGGGACCAGTTATTGATTGCAAAGTGTGCTGCATTACAAACACAATGCAAGGTGACAGCAGAATGTAACTGAATATGAAGATGGGTTTAGCCCCTGTATATCTGACAGAGCTGTTGTCCCTGTCTGCTCCTGTCGGATCAGTGAGGTACGAAAACAAGCTTTTGTTGAACTTTCTCAAGTCTTGTCTCAAGGAAACCAGGCCTTTGCTGCTGATGCTCCCAAACTGTAGACATTCTATCCAGAAAGACTCGAGACAAAGACTGCATAAGAAATATATATTTATTGGCATGATTGAATTAACAAACAAACCCAGAAGACACATTGATTGGGTACTAGTATATTTATTGCATTTCAACATTAAATTCTGCAGAAACACTGCCTGACGAAAGCAGGATGGACTTTAAAAGAAATTGCAGAGAGTGTTTGCAAACCCCTCGGTTCTAGACCCTGGTGGCACAGGACACTGAGCCGAAGACATGAAACTGCACTGAAGAGGCAGTGATGGGGAGGAGGTGAGTTGCTGCTCAAACAGCAGCTTGAAGTTGCAGAAAACTCAGAGGCTCTGTTTAAATGCAGTATTTCTTTATTTATTTGGTTGGGACAGTACATGTTAATGAACACATTACTCCAGATTGTAGCCATGGACTAATGTGCACCCGCTGTCCCAAATCGCACTCACAAACAAACACTCATTCACCCTGAACTATTGCACATGTTTTTAGTGGAAGGGGAAACTGGAGTACCCGGAGGAAACCTACGCAGACACAAGAACATGCTAACTCTACTCAGAAACTCAGAACTCTACTCGCCCGAGCTCGAGGCCGGGCTGGTCGTATCACAGCCGACCCCTCCCACCCTGCACATGGACTATTCCAACCTCTCCCCTCAGGCAGGAGACTGCGGTCCATCAGAACCAAAACCTCCCGCCATAAGAACAGTATCTTCCCCTCTGCCGTTGGACTCTTGAACTCTTCATAACCTGTCCCCCTTCCCCTTTAAGTCACCTTACTGTCCCCTATCAAGTCACTTTACTGCCCATCACAAAGTCACTTAACTGCTGTTGCCTTATTGCACTGCCTACTGCGCACATTGTGTGCCCCATGTGCACTTGCATATTGTACATACTGTAGTAACTGTAATTATCCTATTTTAATTTTATTCCTTAGAAGTGTATAATGATTTATTATGCCTTACTCTATTCTTTTTCTGACTGTTGCACTGAGCCAAAGTTATTTCCAAGTTTGTGACTTCCTGTTACTTACGTGGCAATAAAAATCATTCTGATTCTGAAAGGCCCTGTTCCGACCGAGATTTCGAACCTAGAACCTTCTTGCTGAGAAGCGAGTGTGCTATCCACTGAGCCACCATGCCACCTTGTCATGGAGTGATGATGTGCACAGGGGCAGCTGAGGCTGATAACAGGGGAGAACAGGTGCAGGTGTGTGGAGAGGGACAACTAAGTGTGACGGGACTTTTTGGTGTGAATTTACCCTTAAGCTTCATTCGTCTTCCTCTGTACATTGAAGCGGCTCCTCATTGGAGGTTTTTGAGTCTAATCTAAAGACACATTTGTGCGCCGTGGCTTTTAACACCAACAGATTTTTTTTTACTGTCTTACATGTTTTATTTACATCTTACTGTATTGGAATGTAGTCCTTTATGAATGTGAGAAAGCAAGACACTTTTCAGTCTGACGTGGGCCATGATAGTATTAGCACCTTTAACAAAGACTGAACAAACCTGTTTAGTGTGTTTAGTCAGCTGCACAAATCCCAATGAACACCAGAAATCCCCTCTGTCAAGGAAACAGGAGAGTCATAGGAGGAATTGAACTCTCAAACTCTCTCTTGGGAAGGATTGAAGATATGCTCTCAAACGTTTATCAACATGTAACAAATACTTAATGATGTTGGTAAATTCATCTTAATTTCATCACTATTTCATCCCATTCAAAGATGTCAATGTTTTGTATTGCTTCACTGTTACATGTGCTTTTCTTTTTCTTTTTCCTTTTTTGACCAACGGGTTCCGAAGTATGCACAGAGATGACTGGAGCGTCCTGAAATCCACAAACTACTTTGATCAAACAAGGAGATGTGTCCTGAGAACTGCTGTGTTTTAACAGACACAGTTAATTCATTTGTTGATGTTAGCAACGGTTGTGGCTATAATGAAAAGACAAGTGAGAGTAAACTGAACTGAACCAAGAAGGCCAGACACAACACAAACATATAACTTGTATTTTAAAGCAGGGGTGCCCAAACTTGTTGTGCCCAGAGGCTGACGACACATATTGACTGGGTTCTGGCAATTCCTAGCTTTAAAATGAGGTTGGGGGCTAGTGGGGGCTTGTAATCTGACTCTTTGACGGTGGGGGTGTACCCGGAAACAGAATTATCCAATACATTTTTACGACGCGTTCTTACCTCGCCGTGATCCTGTAAAGTCGGCTCTTGGCTTCACGCTACATACCAGAGCGTGTCAATACCGAGGGGAGTATTTTTAGCCTCTGTGGACTTTTGAATGCACTTAAATGAACGGCATGTGTCCAGGCTCGTGCCGGCTAATGCATTCTCTTCACACTTACTGCAGGACGGCCCACTCGATTTCATTTTAAAAAAGGCCGCAAAAGGCAAAAGTGATGGCACATTAGTTTCAATGGCAGGGATAGGCATCACTACATCCGTAAACCTTTAGAGCAGGGGTGCCCAAACCTTTTGCTTCCAAGGGCCAAAGTAAAAATTTGCCAGTGGGCCGCGGGCCAAATACACCAATATTATGCATGAAACACAAATAAATGTAGATTTGATCAAGTTCTTTTAAATGCATTAATTATTGTCTAGCAGTGCAAATCACAGCTGAATGAATGAAATCAACACAGTCTTAGTGAAATGGAGGCTCCTGGGAAATATGCAGGTTTGAGGAGACTACAGTACGGAAAGATTCCGGCCGCGTAATCAGGGTCCAGAGGAGGGAGATTTTCTGTCATGGCTTATTTAAAGGTTAAAATCATATAATAAAACCTCAAAAAGAGAACAGAAACATACATTTTGTGTGCACCATGTGCACTTGTATATTGTAAATAGTAACTAACTCTATTTTAAATTTAAATTTATTCCTTAGAAGTGTTTTTTATTCTTTATTTTTATTATCTCTGTTGCACTGAGCCAAAGCAATTTCCAAGTCTATTTTCATATATTTATTTTGAACAAAAGTTTTTAACTACATTTGAATCATATTACTTTATCTTAGCTTTTATCAAAAAGGGGAGACATCACTGATCAATTGATCTGGTTTTAGCACACTTTTAAACAATACATTTTAACATTAAGTAATGAATTTGGGAACATAATTGCTAACTGCATTTTCTAAACATGATCAGGTTTTAACTCTTTTAACTTAATATTTTTAACATAGGACAAGTATTCTCAATTAGTAGTGAACTGAATATTAAACTAACAAAATCAGACTAGTTAACCATGATTTGTTCCTGGAGTTTTGTTTTGTTTTGCCTAAACACAGTACAAAATTTATAAACAATCAAAACAAAGTAACTGTTAAAGAGTCCGAGTTTCCGCTCCTCCAAAGGGCTCTTGAACGCATCATAAAACTCCGCGTAAGTTCTGACATTCAATGATCGCGAGTGAGGACGGCGCTTACCGGCTTCTTTCATGGGGCTGTAGAAGGCAAGGCAAGGCAAGGCAAGTTTATTTGTATAGCACAATTCATACACAAGGCAACTCAAAGTGCTGAACAAGATAGCATTAAAATCATAAATAATCACAGAACATTAAAAAGAAAGATAAAAATATAAAATCCCTCAGTTGTATGCACAGCTAAACAGCACAGTTTTTAACTTGGTTTTAAACATAGTCAGAGAGGAGGCCTGTCTCACATCTTCAGGAAGAATGTTCCAGATTTTAGCAGCATGAATCTGAAAAGGGGGCTGGTGCTATGAGACTTGGGTGGCATCTCTGACTGCCACCCCCCTGACCCAGAAATGGATTAAAGGGTAGAAAATGGATGGATGGATGAATCTGAAAAGCAGCCTCCCCATGTTTAGTTCTGACTCTGGGCACTAACAGGAGTCCAGTCCCTGTGCTCCTCAGAGTCCGGGCTGGTTCATATGGGACTAACATGTCACTAATATATTTTGGTGCGAGGCCATGGAGAGACTTGTACACAAGCAAAGCTGTTTTAAAGTCTATTCTCTGAGCCACAGGAAGCCAGTGCAGAGACCTGAGGACCGGACTAATATGGTCGTACTTCCTGGTTCTAGTCAGGACTCGAGCTGCTGCATTTTGAATGTACTGCAGCTGTTTTACAGCCTGTTTGGACAGACCTGTGAGCAGGCCATTGCAGTAGTCTAACCTACTGGAGACAAATGCATGGATAAGAATCTCCAAGTCTGCTTTAGACACTATGTTTTTGATCCTGGAAATGTTTTTTAGATGGTAAAAAGCTGCTGATGATACTGATTTGATGTGGCTATTAAAATTTAAGTCTGAGTCCAGTATTACCCCTAGATTTCTGACCTTGTTTGAAGGTTTTAGGGAGAGAGACTGTAGATTACAGATGACGCTCTCTCTTTGTTTCTGGGGACCAAAGACAATCATTTCAGTTTTGTCTGCGTTTAGCTGAAGGAAGTTGTTTTGCATCCACTCACTGATCTGTT